GAAATCAAGACCATTCCAATAATAATAAGCGCTGAAGGTGTAATTGACAAACATCTCTGTACAAATATGAGCACCTTTGGACTCACGCAAAACCTCGTTGATACCATCGATACCTGTCATATCATCAGAATTCTTATTACCTAAATTCTCATATAGAATATACAATATATTTTGTTTTAAGTTAAGGCTTCCAAAATGTATTTTTTCACCCATTAAGGAGAAATAAATAAATATCAATAATAATAATAACAATAAATTTTTATTTTAATAATAATGTTAAATATTAAATTCAAATAATAATTAATAATAATAATTCTTAATATAAAATTTTAATATTCTATATACATAAAAGAAAGTCGTGTTAGTTAGACCACTTATAACTCAAGAACGGCTCGACCGATTTTAAATATCTTTGATTTGTTGGAATCGTCTCCGTTCCGAATAGCAGAATATATTATAAAAAAATCCACTAATCTTAGCAAAAATAATAAATTTGTAAATTCTGTTTCAAACTGTTGACAGTTTGACAGTTTGAGTGATATTGATTACTTTTTAAATTTTTTTTTCAAATATTTCAAATATAATAAATTCAAATATAATAAATAAATACTGTCATCAATATATGAGCGGAAAGTATCGATTTGTTTGTTTTGTGCATGTATTTAACATTAACAATGCCGCGACCCAGAAAGTCTAATCTTTCCCAACAAAGCCGTAATGCAATTAGGCGTCGAAACATTACGATTGCATCCACTGAAGAAGAACGAGAAAGGAGCCTAATATACAAATATACTTCATGGGCAATATGACGGAACAACTTGTAATTAATAATAAGAATAATAATTTTATATATTAACTTCTAATAATAATTAATAATAATCATTTTATATATAAAATTCTTATTAATTCTGAATAAATTTAACAGAAAACACGCGTAATAACGTAAACGGTATTTCTTTTAAGGCATTGAGCTGATAAGGCAGAGCTGAATTAGCTTTGACACCAACCTTTAGCTTAGACCGTATATTTTCAAGAGCAAAATACTTTTTAATTTGAGTTACGTTCAAACTTCATTTTGGATAGGATTTTTCGAAATAATTTTACCAGAATGCGTGCCTCCATAAAATTGAAACTTTTAAAAATTATTAAAAAATAAATAAGACACAATAATAATAAAAATAAATGTTTAAAATATAAATTGTTTAATAACAATTTTCAATCATTTCACTCATGTACTTTATCTCATTTAACCCTCGAAAGCTTTAATAAAAATTTTCTATTTAAGTGCATATTGTTACCTTTTTCGCGGATTCTCATATCTTATATTATACAAATTATATTATAATTTTATTTATATATACCTGCAACTTTACGCCCCCCTTCTTAGTCCAGGGCCTCACTTTGACTCGCTGCCTATTCTTTCAGTGGCTGGTCCTGTTTACTTTCAAAGTACAAAACGGACGATGCAATGCATTATATACGACATACGCACATACATGCCAACATACATACATACATACATACATACATACACACATGCATTTGCATACAATAGCAATGGATTGCGATTATCGCTTTTGTGTTCCCCGTTTGCGAACATTTCTCCGATTTGCTCACCGATTAAGCATGCATCGGGGCTTCGTTGTCCAGTGGCTGCTCTTGGCTCCTATTTTCAAGCGTTCGCTGTGTTTTTGATTTTTTACGTGCGCTTTTATTAAATTTTTTTTTTTGCGCAATTTTTTTATTATTTTGTCTGTCTTTTATCGTTTGAGGCTTCTTCTGTTATTGTTATTGTTTTTGCTTTTGTTTTTGTTTTTGTTTTTGTTTTGCATTCTTAGATAACGATTTCTTTGCAGTTCTGTTCATTCATTTTTTGCATATATTTTTATTTTTTATGTGTCCATTTTATATTCGCCATTAACATTGTAACTGCAGCGGCGCGGTCCCGTTAGCTTGGCTTGGAAACTCGGTCAAGAGTGTCTCCATTCATGCTGAGCTGAGCTGAGCTGAGCTGTGCCGTAATTGCATAATTCCCGTTACCGTAACAAGCTTAGCTTGTCAGTTGCTTCGGTTGTCTCGGTTATGTCGGTTGCCTATGTTGCTTGGTTTCTTGGTTTCTTGCTTTCTTTTCTATTCTTTCTACGCAATTTTCATTAATTTTTTTTTCTCTTATTATTATTGCTACTTACTTTTTTATTTCGTTTTTCCTGTTTCTTGCTAAGCCCGACTTTGGTTTGTTTGACTTTGGGTGCTTTCACGTAATTTATTTGTGAATTCTGCACATAAAACATTTGACAGTGATTCTTCCAAAGAAGGGAATACTTTGTAGGCTTGGCAACGGTCGGTCGTCAATTTGTTTAAATTTTGGGTGAGACTTTTGCATGGGAAGAAAATCTATACAGAGGTTGATACTTTAAGGGTCGATTACATATAGTTGTAACTTAAGTCTCAATACTGACTTAAGTCGTGTTTAAGTATCCACTCAGCTTTGAGACTTAAAATGTAACTGCGAAATTAGATCTAAGTGGTAAGGCGAGAAGTGTGTGTACTAGAGTTGAATACCTTAAAATGAGAAAAATTTTCTGATTACTTTTTAAAATGGAATAAGTTAGTTGCATAGTTTGGATAGTAGATCTTAACTCATGTCGTTTTTGATTGATAATTCTGGGTTAATTATATCAATCGAGATGTACTTTTAATACGATTTTCATATTCCATTGCTTAATCTAAAGGATTTCACTTAAGGATAACATTGAGATTAATATATAACACTCTAGATATTTTACCAGGGTAACAAGATTATACTGCAATTAACAGCTGTTTTATATGTCTTGACATATAAAGTGCGATTTGATTCGTTATATGTTTTATAAATGTTTACTAATACTACTAAAAAAAAATTTTAGATTAATCTAAAAATGTTCGTTTGGGAAACAATATTTCACAGATCGAGTGTAAATCTAGATTGAATCCTGATTTATCAATCGAAAACAACAGTAATGGGCCTCAATTACGGAAAATTTTTATAGAACTGTTAAACATAAATATTTTTTGAGTCTAATTCTTGATAAATGTGCCGGATTTGATATATTTTAATAATAAAAAAGTTAAGTATATGTAAAAGGAAGATAAGATATAATATTTCTCTTGTTATAAGCTATAATATCTAAGTAAGTATCTAATTAACATCAGGGCCTCTGAAGGTTTAGAATCCTTACATAGTAAATGATGAACACTGAAACATGAGGTCGAGTACAGATTTCCCCTCACCCGCAGACAACCTGATAAGTTTATGAAAAGACTATGTGTCTAGTTTTTAATCTAGCTCCTTTAGGCCAATTATGTATGGAGTACTGAGGATTTTGAAACTTCCCTTAGCCAATAATTAGAGCTGGCATATGAGGTGGCTCATTCGTTGAGCAAAAGCCCCAAAAAAATTCGTTAATTGCTAGGTCAAGTTTTATTGCATACCTTTATAATACGCGTGACCCATCAGCATCGATATTATAGTACTTTGTTGGTACCGGTTGAGATACCGCAATTAGCTGGTATGTATTTTGTTCAATTTAAACTAAGCTAGGTTTATCGTCTGAAAAGATTCTTTCTCTATCTAAACTTTTCACCAATAGCCCCAATCTTTCCCTAATTTAAAATAGAAAATTCCTCTAGAGCATAGAGCATTAGATTTTATAGGTCACTGTGTACTGTTCTTCTTTTCAATGATTATAATAATAATAATAATGATAATAGATAGGTATTTCTATGTGGCCAATGTGGTTTCTCACTATTTCGTTTGATATCCTAATTCACTGCTGTTTAGTTCACTCCAAGAGTACATTTAAAAAAAGAAACAACTTCGGTATTCAGGAAGGCGGCATTTAGTGTTGTTTTGATATAAAAATATGTCAATTTGGTAATAAAATTTTAGTGTACCACTAAGACTGAAAACCTAAAACATACATAAAACATGACTTGGAAAGACTCGATAATTTAGTCGTTATTTTTAATCATCATAATTTTTTGCAGTTGTCTTAACATTACACTTTAATAATCATAATTAAATCGGGCTTGAAGATTTTTCCACGTAAATATGCAGCATTTTCAAGACACTTTTGGAGTTGCTCGGAGCGTTTACATGTCTGGTTGCACCACTTTGTCAATTGGCGATTACGGCAGACGCGCTGCCGCTAATACCCACAACAACATGGTTGGCTGCTCCAAAAAGCCAAGAGGAGGAATTGAAAAAAATTATGTAAAAAAAAAACAAAAAAATTTAAACAATAAATAAACAACATTAATAATAGAAGTAGCAGCAACAGCAACAGCGTCAAACAACGTCGGCAGCATTTGTTGCGGTGGCACAGCGAATGGTGGCAACATTGGCTAAATGTTGCAGTAAGCAGCAACTATAGAAATGATCTTAAATGAATGCGGAAGTTTTTTGGTTTGGTTTTCGTAACCAGCTTTTAAGCTGCTGCAACTGCAGCTTGCAATTGCAGGCATTGCAGTTGCAACAACAAAAACTGCACACATAGTTAGAAAAACATACAACTTAGCAGCGACAAGCGACAATCGACAATCGACAACTACAATACATGCACGTACGCTAAGCAAAACTGTCGCAAGTAATCGCAAGTTAAATAAACAAAATTTTATTAAAAATATTAAAAGAATAATATATGTTTTTTATAATTTTGCATTAAAATAATTAGTTGTTATTAAAAAAATTTTTTTTTTTTTTTAACAACATGTTATATGTCAGCAACGTTGTGGGCGGTTGCATGCGACTGATGTGCGACAATAGCAGTTTTTATGAATAAAAATCACAGAGAAGCGTGTGAATTTCGCAAATTAGTCAAGTGAAGTTCTTAAATTCTAGACTCTTCCATATCTTGTTTCTTTTCAATTTACTCAATAGAACTTTTGTAACTTGTCCTTTCAGCCTGAAAACACCTGCTGCAGTATCTCCGCTGGCCATTGCTTGACACCCGATACTTGTCTGTTAGCCAAATAAGATTTTGGCAACCTGAAGATCTTAATGAAAGAATTCTCACAGTTTGAAGAATTTCAGAACATGTTCAGTCTTTGTTGTCAACACTTAGAGAATCAACAAATCAAGT